CGCTGGCTCCGCTGGAAGGGGGGTGTGTGTTGCGGGCGTGCTCTTGGAGAAGACCCGCGGGCGCCTGAACCGAAGATTCCGGGTGAGATTGGCGTGGGGGGGGCGACTTCTGCAGAGAGCGACCCTGCGCCCTCTCGCCTAGGTTGGGGGGGGCGCCCCTGGTTTCTAAACCCGAGGTGTATTTGGGGGGGCGAGGAATAGCACTCTGTTTAAAAAACGTGTCCTCGCTATTTTGCATGCTAATATAACAAATCTATCTATTTATCTATCTACACACATATATACACACACATACACAATATATGATCAATGCTCCCTCTAAGCTACGGAGTCTTGTGAGCAAAAATTCTACTTTGTGAGCTACTGGCATTAAAGTTGTGAGCGAGCGATTTGGCTGCTGCAGAAATCAGTTTGCCTAGAGCCATCCTTCCTGAGCTAAGACAAAAATGTGTGAGCTGGAGGCTAAAAAACTGTGAGCTAGCTCACACTAACTCAGCTTAGAGGGAACACTGACTATGATATGTAATTCCATTTCATCATCTGACTGGAGTTGTGCATGCACACCAAAGCTCACACCTTGAATAAAACTTTGTTGGTCTCAAGGTGCCGTTGGACCCCAACTTTGTTCCACAAACATCACTCATTTTTGAATCCGGAAAGTTGTGCATGACATTCGGGCAACTGGTTGCCATAGAAAACTCAACCTTCCCCAGACCTTTAAATGGGGGGGGGGAGCAAAGGAATAGAGAGGGGGGTTCTTCCCTCTCTTAGGAGGCCCGCTGAGGGACCTATTCTGGTCTGCCCAGATGTTAACTATACAGAAAGGTTAATAAGAAACCCCCTGCCCCCACCTTCTTGGACCTTTGCAGAAATATGTTCCAAACCTCCTCTGCTCCTGCAGTCTTTTGGATTTTTTCCCATTGATAAGTAGAGTGTCTCTGAGTTTTGTGAGTTTTCAACTGCATCGATGTTGCGCACGGCTTTTCGGATTGAAAAATGACTGACGTTTGTGGAGTGCTGTCTCCCCCCCCCCCATACACATCTGTCTGCTTGGAGCCTAAAGAGGAGTTTAACATTTCTGCTTGCTGGGGCCGTGACTTGGAGGGCTGATTCTTGGGCAAAGAGGCTGAGGGGTCGGGTTGTTCACTGGAAAGCGAGGCCGCTGGATTGGCATTCGTCAGAGGGCAGCCTCTCCCCCCTCCCCCCAATGTGGCATGGCAGACCTCTTTGGAAAATTGCACAACTTAACAAAAAAAAGTTTGCGATACAGTGCGGGAGGGCCCTTTGCAGAGGGACGCCCACCCACCGCAGAGGCCTTCTTTACCCTCTTTCGAGGGAGAGAGAAATACCTAATGGGAATTGTTTTTATTTTTAAAAAAATCTCATGGCTTTAACATTGTTGTTCGGATCCTGGCTTGCAACTTTAGCAAAGTACAGATTGAATGCAGATCGCTCCCCGCTGGTTGTATGCTCTGCCCCTTTGCTGCTCGTCCGTGGCTCAGGGGGACGGTTTAGTCCACTGATGCGCTTGCCCTGGTCTGTCAGTCATTAAAGGTGCCACAAGAGTCCCAGTGTTCCCTCTAAGCTGAGTTAGTGTGAGCTAGCTCATGGTTTTTTAGCCTCCGGCTCACACGTTTTTGTCTCGGCTCGGGAAGGATGGCCCCGGAGCAGACTAATTTATGCAGCAGCCAAATCACTTGCTCACAACTTTAACGCCAGTCGCTCACTAAGTAGAATTTTTGCTCACAAGGCTCCACAGCTTAGAGGGAGGATTGCACAAGACTCTAGTTTGTTTGTTCGTCATAGCAGACTGCCTGACAGCTAAGGAGGCACTTAATGCATTGGACGGAAGGGTTCATAGTCCACAAAACCTTATTCAGAAGGAAATGGGCTAGTTTGTCAGGCGCCACGAAATCCTGTTTTCCTTTTTCTTCTGGTGGTCGGGCAGTCGAGGCGCAGCCAAGTTAGAGAGGCCAGATCGGTGACGTGGCTAAGAGCAGCAGGACTCTAATCTGGGAGAACCGGGTTTGATTCCACACTCTT